AGCTGCAAGTTCCGGCGCACGACCCGCAGTGGACTACGTGGGAGTCCAGCGACATAGCCATTACACTAACTGCTGGTCCCCTACAAACTCTTCTTGTCCATTCTCTCAGGATTTGGAGTACACACACACACGCCTGGTGTGATTTTTAAGCCGCTGGGTCCAGGACTCAAACCACAGTTGGCCATATGGGAGTCAAGCAATGTAACCATTATGCCACCTGCTGCTCCCTGTAATAGCTTTGTTAAGAAATAATTTTACAAACCAAACCACTCATCCACTTTGAGTACACAATTCAATGGCTCTTCATTATTCACAGTTGTGTGTCCGTCACATTTTAGATCATTGTTATCACCCCACAGCCATTAGCAGTCACTCCCATGTCCATATGGCCTTCCCCCAGCAGCTCTAGGCAACTATCAATCTACTTTCGGTCTAGATTTGCCTGATCTGGACATTACTCTGTGACTCATTGTTCATGGAGCATATTTTCATTTTTTTTTTAAAGAATTATTTTATTCAACTTTATTTATTTATAATTTGACCATAGAAGGACAGAGTAAGAGTGAGACAGAGAGAGAGGGAAAGTGAGAAAGCAAGTCACCATGTCCAGGACTCAAACCATAGTCAGCCATGTGGAAGTCCAGCACCCTTAACCACCATGCTACCTGCCGGTCCCCATGTAACACATTTGCAAGGTTTGTCTAGTTGTAGCATGTCTCAGTACATTTTTTTCTTGTTGAATATTTCACTGTATGTATATACCACATTTCATTTATCCATTTATCAGTTGATGGACATTTGGACTGTTTCAACCATTTGGCTATTATGAATAATACCATTCTGAACATTCATGTGCAAGATTTTGTGGGACATATGTTTTCATGTCTGTTGGGTATAAACCTAGAAGTGAAATAGCTGAGTTATATGGTAACTCTACGCTAAGTGAGGAACTGTTCTCCAAAGCATTTTATATTCCCACCAGCTGTGCATGAGAGTTCCAGTTTCTACACATCTTTGACAACACTTACTACTATCTGTTTTACTATAGCCATCAGAGTGAGTATGAAGTGGTATCTCACCATGGTTCTGATTTGCTTTTCTCTAATGACTAATGATGCAATCAGCTTTTCATGAGCTTACTCACTGAGCAGGTGACTTCTGAACAAAGACATGAAAGAGGATGAGGGAGCCAGCCATGTAGTTATCTTTGAGTATTTCAAGCAGATGGAACCACAAGTGCAGAGGACTTGAGGAGGGAGTGTGCCTTTGTGTTAAAAGAAAAGTAAGGTTATCAGTATAACTGGTACCAAGTATTTAAGGAGAGGTTAGGAGGAGACAAGGGCAGAGGAGAAAACTGGGGATGCAAAAATCTCCCATGGATTTTATTCTGAAATGGGAATGTATCGGTGACTGGTTTTTTTGTTTCTTTTTAGAAACAGGGTCTTGCTAGGCTGCCCAGGTTGGGCTAGAACTCATGATCCTCCCATCTCAGCCTTGTGAGTAGCTGGGATTATAGGTGCACACCACTGCCTCCTGCAATACTGGACAGTTTGGAGTCATTCGGCCTAACTCAACTGTCAAAAGACAACAAAGGTAGCTTTGTTGAGAACAGACCACAGAGGATCAAGAGTGGAAGGCTGCTGACAAGTCAACAAGCTACTGCAATAAATGAGGTGAGAAATAACTGACAGTGGCTTGAACTGGGTAGTGGCAATGGAGTGGTGATAACTGATCAGAGTCTGGATGTATTTGTCAGGTTAATCTAGTGAGATTGGCTGACATGTACCATATTAGAAAGGATGATTCCTAGGTTCCATCTGAACAACTATTAATAGAAGAACTGCGGTCTTTGCTGTTCTGATGAGCTGGACACTGAGAACAAAGCTCCCTTACCAGTTCTCTTAGGACAGCCATTATGGTCTCCTCTACTCTGAACTCTACTCAGACCTTATGCTCAGGCTTTGCTCCAAAAACCTTTGGAGAGGTTTTTCGCTATAGGGTGCGTGCGCTCGCCAGAAAGACAGAGAGAGTCAGAGAGATAGAAAGCGAGAAATCACCCCCCAGGGGGGATGGCCACACCGCAATCCCTTCTCCTCTTGGGATCTTGGGCACGCATGCACACGTGCCTGGCGTGAGTTTAAGCCACTGGGCCCAGGACTTGAACCGCGGTCGACTACATGGGAGTCCAGCAACATAGCCATTATGCTAACTACTGGTCCAAAAAAAAAAAAAAAATGTGTGTGTGTGTGTGTGTGTGTGTATATATATATATATATATATATATATAAAATTGATGTATATTATGATAGAGACA